TTTGAAACGTCGTCCTCTACACTTGTGTTTCTACAACAGGCAGTTGTCGTCCATTTTACAGTTTCATCATGAATACTCTGTCTAAACAATCTTTTGTGTTAATGTTCTAGATACTCGTTTGTCAGATGTACATTATCAAGTTTCCTTAATCCTTCGAAATAGTCAAGTTATTACTCAAGACAATACAAGGAAAACTCAAGAATCTGAAGATATTGGTATAGAGTGTAAACAAAATGACTTTGTGTTTAAGTGAGATGCTGCTAAATCAGAACCTCATAAATATACATTTAATAAAATTGGTATAGAACATCTTAGTACACAATTAGAAGCTTTAAAAGTAAATGTTAGTCAAGTATATGTAGGTTTTGTATGTAGCAAACTAAGAAGTTTATTTATCAACGTAGCAAAAATAGGAATTTGTGTAAAGAAACGAGGACAATCAAAACTAATAAACCAAATAACAAATTTATCAAACTCTGGTTCGATGAAGATTATTTTATACGATTGTAAAAAATAAGTTAAAAAAGGCAAAGAAAAATCAAGTTAACCGTGATGTTAAAGTAGAACTTAAGATGGCAGCAATTATACAAAAAGGTTATTAAAACTAAATAAAAAAACTATTTTAGGATAATGGATAGAAATAATAATACACAATATTGGAATATTACAAACAAAATGTGGAGCAAAATAAACATGTTGCTGAAATCTCGTGACAGGTATTTACTGGTCACTTTAAAAAATAAATGTATATATATAATGACTCAAAAACAGAAGAGAATGAATTTGATCCAAAAACAATAAATCAATCTATAAATGAAGATCTAAACTGTAATAAAATAAAAACTAATAAAGTTTGTGAAATAGATTACATAAGAATTAAACTTTTTACAACAACCCTTAAACATAGAATTACAAAGTGTTTAGAGGCAGCCATTAACCATAGAATTAGAAACTGTTTCCAGTAATCCTTAACCATAAAAGTACAAACTGTTTACAGAAACCCTTAAACATAGAATTACAAAGTGTTTAGAGGCAGCCATTAACCATAGAATTACAAACGTTTTACAACAACCCTTAACTATAGAATTACAAACTGTTTCCAGTAATCCTTAACCACAAAAGTACAAACTGTTTACAGAAACCCTTAAACATAGAATTACAAAATTTTACACAAACTGTTAACCATAGAATTACAAACTATTTAGAGGCAACCATTAACCATAGAATTACAAACTTTTTAGAGGTCACAGGTACCTTTGGCGATGAACAAGCAGACTTTAGGGATGGATTATCTATGACAGATAATATTTTTGTACTTAATTCTATTATTAACATTTGTTTGAGTAGGATGTAAAGAATGTATTGTATCTTCACGGTGGATAAAGCTTAGGTCTTTAGAGAATAAATAAGTTTTAAATAGAGATATTGACAAGTTAATATAGAAGTGTAAATTAGTCACAAATTCATATAAATGCAACAGAGATGTAGCCAATTATATTAAAACAACTTTGAATCACTAAGTCATGTGACAACCACGGCTGATATAAAGTTACGGTGGAACAGACTGTATGAGAATTACATTTTGACAAAATTTGGTGTTACACAGGTAGTGTGATGCAACCAAAAGTTAATCACTTTTGTTAATGGCATGTAACAGCCTTTCCAACAAAAAATGTTCATACACTCCATAAAGAAGTGTCCAGATTGGGAATTTCAAATTTTTAAAATGAGGATATCCCTTGTGCCTCATGGCACTGGAAACCAAAGTAATATGGATCAAAATAGTGTACCAGGACCATCCAGAATCAGAATTGCAACAAGTCATATTTCAGCTGTGATGAGCAAAAAGCAGTGTCTTGTTACAAGCAAGAATCCACAAACACAAATGATAGTGGCAAAAGATGTCAACATGCTCCAGGTAATGGTATGCAACATAATCAAGAAGGATGTCTGTCTGGAAAAGCCACAGAAGTCACATGCATATATATATATATATTGCTTCAACGACATATCTGTTCAACTGTTACATACATCAAGCAGTTGAAGAAAGAAATGGCTATTTATTATATTCCAGATGAAGACATACTGTTCAAGTGATTGAATGCAGCACCTAGAGATTTTTGTGTGATTGCAACAGGCACTCGGAAACTGTTGTCCTCATATGCTACATAGTTTGGACAGAAGGAGGGCTTTAATATGACAACCTTACTTTTCAATGGAAACCATGCAGCAGGAATATTGTCACGATAGAGAATGACCAGGTGTACTGAAATGGACTATAATGATAGCCATTCTTAATTTTGAAATGATAGTCTAGAAGGAAGACAAGCACCCATCACCAATTCTTGGGCTACCCTAAGTGAACAGTGAGATTTGACCATCGTTTTTACAATGCACCCATGGCTCGAAAATGCAGAGCAAAATTTACCAGTAACAGGAGACCAGGAGAGGAAGGAACACAAGATGTTATGTTTCTAAGTCAAATTTAAATTCTAAAATTTGTAAAAATGTTAATTTCATATAAGCTTACTTGTCTATAGTTGAGCTCTGTTAACATCTATAAAGCTAGAACTTGTAGAAATGGCTTATGTTACAATGGATGTAGCTGTTAACTTTCACAAACTTGCATTTCTTTGTTGTTGTTTTTTTTGCCAGTGGTTAATTAAGCTACATAAAAATAGTAATTTAAAAAAGATGAGCAAAGCAGAATTGATATGAGATAAAGGCATAACAACACTGTCACTGAACTGTTAGACGAACCTTGTCAGTTGCATCTCATAAACCTTATTAATTTATTGCTTCAAAGAAAAATAAGCCATTTCTTTTCTTTTAAGAGGGAGTATTTACTTACTGAGTAAATTCTAAAAAGTAATAATGTATTAGTTTATTTGACATAAAGTAAAATCATAAGGAACTATTTTTTAATACAAGTAATAGGTTAGTGAATAATTGTGTATAATGTTTTGAATTTATAACATTGTTAGAAAAAGAAACACCCAAGAAATATCAGCTTGGCATAAAAAATCAGTCTGGCTGGGGCAATATATATTTAAATAAAATACTCATTTTCGACTGATATGAAAATTTAAAGCATTTATACTTATCACGAAATACAATACGACCACAAACTTGTAATTTAATAGCAGGTCATTTGACTCATTGAGGGCACACTTCTACTCACCTACTAAATCATCAAAAACCTAAACTAAATGTCTCTTCACATCAATAAACCTGTACAGGTCAAATATTCCACAAGTTTATAACTAATCAAAAACACGACAATAACAAAAAATCTGTCCCTACACTTCCAATGCTTAATCCTACTGCCTTTAACATTTACATATCAGTACTCAAATAAATCTCCCAAAAATTAATTGTTGAAACCTTTATATTACCTTATTCAAGTGCTGAAAATATGGGTGAAAAAGAAAATGCTGCCAATTTGGGCCACCAGAGTCACTCACTCACGCATACAAAGAAGTAACCCAGATGTCAAGTACAAATTAAATTTATTCTTTAAAGGTGTTAATTTTCCACAAAATTTTAATAAAACTTCACAATTCTTACTTTTCAAATGTGAATTTATTACTGAATATTTTACAGTTTAACACCCAAAAATATTACTTGTAATAAATAATGTTAGACAACTATTTTACACTGTCTGATCAAAGCAAGCAAATTAACTTGGCAGATAACATAATTAATATAAATTTTAACTAGGGTGTGAAGTGTCATAAAACACTGATCCTCGGCTTTTTTTTTAAGATTATGAATCTCAATGTCAAGAAATTTTACTGACATACTTAAAATTCATCTTATTCCTTCCTAAGCTTCTGGAAGGTTTTAAGATGAACCTCACCAGGAGTTACATCATTAATCTCAACTTTTTTTTATAAGCTTTGAAATGTTAAAAAATTGACGTGTTATAAAGTTAGGTTCAGATTGTAAGCAAAAAAAAAAACAATACTGGTCTTAACTTGTGTAGCATAATTTTGTTGCTATTTTTTTTTATGGCTCCTATAATTTTTATTGCCTAGTATTTGTTCCCCTGGTGTCTAAATAAATACAAAACTTTGTCACCACTAATCAAATTAGTTACCAGAAGGTTCTCGGACACAAAGTTATATGTAGGTTATTACACTTTGCAAACATCAATCTGTCAGGTAACGGTAAAACCAGTACTAATCATAGTGCAACTGATGAGATAAAGATTACAGTGCCACATCTGGCTCTTAAGCTACATTTGAGCAATACAATATTCACATTCTACATCTGGATTTTGTTCAAAGAAAATATTAAATATACATTTCTACACTGAGAAATGAATTTTGTAATTTCTTTAGGAATGTCATGGCAACATCAGAATATGTGTATGTATATATATAATGTTTATCTTGATAAAGCATCGTGCCACTACACTATACTCGTGACAAGATGAAATAAAATTAAATGCATCATATTCAAGAAACTGTATTCCAAAATTGCATGATGAAAACAAAGTATTTGGACATACCTTTTTTTTACTTTAAATACATAAGCACAAAAAACCCAAACTCAAATGTCTGGTTGACTTACTTATTTGGTTCTAATGACATATCCTCATAATGTCAGGCAGTGTCACTCTTCCAATAGGGTAGTTGGCCTACAGAATAATCTGCCGTTAGGTGTGGTAAAAGCTACAAATTTAAGGGAGTTTAACTGGAAAATGGATGAATGTTTTCGAGACTGAGATTGGATATCGGAAAATGTGTTTCTGTACAGTGTTTATAGTAGACCAATAGCAGATGGGACTGAGATTGGATATCGGAAAATGTGTTTCTGTACAGTGTTTATAGTAGACCAATAGCAAATGGGACTGAGATTGGATATAGGAAAATGTGTTTCTGTACAGTGTTTATAGTAGACCAATAGCAGATGGGACTAAATTCTCCTTCTGAACTCTGAGAAAAAGCAACATGTATATGTTACAGGAAAAATAATTTCCTACACCAGGCATCTGATCCATTTCTTTACATATAATGTCTCTTGCTCTCTTTATTTTTATTATGGAAAAAAGGAATACAGATGAAATAATATCTAAAACGTACATAGCACAGTTGTACTTAGATAAAGAAGAAGAAAAAGGAAATTACATATCTAAATTATTTAACTATTAAAAAGTAACACTACTCTAATGGGATTACCCAGCAGATGGGTTACATTGATACAAATTTTAATTTTCATTAAACAAACCACAAATTATTTTTTTTGGAAGAGTACTAGCCTAGTTACTAAAGAACCTGTATGCTTTAAAAAGTGGTAATAGAATAGACATTGTTCAAAACCACTTTTAGGTCATTTTTTGGACCTCTTTAATCACTATAAAGAAAGATCCATGACAGTATTTTATTTTTACTGCAAAATGTTAAACTCGTGGATATAGTAATTTATGTAGAATAATTTTCTATTTAAGACTTAAACATTTTATTATTTCTCCTAAAATCCAACCTTCCATTTATTTCAAATACATGTCCTCTTTGTGCAAGTTTACTTAGTATTCTTGCAATATTTCTACAATCATCTATGCCACTGTGGAGTCTACCAACATGATCAAGTTCAATATAATCCAACATTTGTATCAATCCCTTCGGCCAAATTCCTGTAGTCTGTGCAAATGATTTTTTGATATTAATCCACGTGTTCATGTAAGTTGGTAAAGAAATGCCAAAATAACTACACTGCTTTGGTAGCATTAACTTGAGATCCCAGTCACCACACGTAACAAACGCAAACTTGACTTTCGACTGAAACAAACCTTCTTCTTCCATCCAGTTGTTAAATTTTTTTAGAACTTCGTTGAGATGAGGCTTCTCATCAACCATATCTTGAATTATTCCTGTTAACTCAGTACAAAATGAAGAAAGCGTAGGATGTACTTCTGGTTTCACGTACTCGTGAAACACTGCCTTTGTATCAAATGTCTTTGCACATACTTTAATGACAGGAAATTCTATTATTTCTTGCGGTTCCGGAGTTCTCTCTTTCTCACAAGTGGCCTCAAAATCAAGTACAAGAAAATAATCAAAGTTGTGTTCTTTCACATCTTTTGATATATTACTAGGACAAACTACAGAAGAAGAATTTCTAGAAGTACAACTAGAAACGCTTCTTTCACTTTCAACCACTGGCACAGGAGTTGGGCCTGTTCTGTAAGCTGACATAATCGTTTCGGTAAAGTAAAAAATCTTACGCTCCCTAACCTAACAAAAATATTGTATGGATATAATAAATACCTGACTTCAAAATAATTTCGTTTAGCATGTTTTAAAAACAGTTTCGAAAATATCATTACACCATGTGAACAATATTGGTATAAGTTCTTACGTTACTGTGAAGTGCGACAGTGGCGACACTTGTGAGATAGCAATTTTTATTTTGTTATGGTTTTGTTTACTGTTCATTTATTCCTTCTGTCGGTTAGTTCAGCTCTAAGCTTTTAGCTGGAGCACGTTGAATTTGTATATGTTTGTATGTATTATGACACTGATACAAGCTTACTCTAGCAGTAATGTAAAAGTTTTAAAATGTTAAAGTGGCGAAATATTATGTAAATTAGCTAGTCACATGAGATGTAGCTTAATGGTCTAACCACTAAATAAAAACCCAGACTTTTAAAATAGGCCGACGTTCTTATGTTCCCAAAAGAAGGACAATAATAGAATAATCCAGAAAACTACAGATCTATTAGCTTGACTAGCCGTCTAGGTAAAGTTTTAGAAAAAAAATATAAACAGAAAACAATTAGCTTATCTTGAAAATACTGTTACGCCTCTGTCCTCGTTTGTTAATTTCCCGTATAATTTCTTTCGGATGAAACTTTAGCGACAGAAGTCCTTTCTTAAATAAAACTAGTTTATTCTTTCTCAATTCAACTTTGTAATACACTTAATTTCCACAATCACTTTAAGCACACGCTATAATTCACAATGATTCACGCACTTAGTTACGGTCACTACCGCGCTTGACTCAATTGTCCGTCTTTATCTCTGCCTGTCTGCAATTCAATTCCGATTCCGATTGATTCGTCTCACTTTCGGTGACGAGGAACCCACTTTGAGACTAATAATGATGATGACACCTGATGATGACAAAACATTTTCGAAACGTTGTACATTTGCTGTTATGTTAAACTTATATTAAAGTTTTTCTTCATTACCCATTCAAGCCGTCTCCAGCCATTATGATTCGTCTCACGTTATCCGGCGCACTTATATACAGGAATAGAGGGCGCCTAGCACATACTGGGTTATTCGTGATGTTCCCCGATCCTTCGAGAATATCATGACGTGTACCCGAGTCACGTGACTACCGCTGTCGTAACAATACCAACAAATTGCCGGAGATCCAAAACGCATTCCGTAACTCAAGACAGTCAATAGAACATTTACTATTTGCTTATCTTGAAAATACCAACAAATTGCCGGAGATCCAAAACGCATTCCGTAACTCAAGACAGTCAATAGAACATTTACTATTTGCTTATCTTGAAAATACCAACAA